AACAACTGGAACACACCGAAATTCCCCTCACCCCCTCCCTTGCCAAGAGTCCACAATAGTTCCAAGACAGCCCTCTGTACATGCTCAGAGGAACACATCATAGGGCAGGACTCCTGAGGGAGGAGAAACAAAAATATCTGGGGGGTAAAATCCAAGTGATGCCAATAAGGATGAGAATGGTAAATTAGTCCAATGGCCACTTCCGAACAACCTGTGTGATATTTCGTGGCTCGATTATTGGCATGTAAAACCACAATCCAGAAGAAGTCACACAACTATTTCTGCAGATACAGGAGCCCATTTGCTGTAAATAAGCCTCATGTACTGCTCCGTGCACTGCTGAGCCAAAAATCCAAACCCAACGAAACGTGGTGACACAGATGGGATGGTCGCTATTGGGGGGCAAAACCCAAGCGATGCCGGTCTGACGAGGGCATCCTTCAAAGCCAGGTTCATTTCCCAGACAAGAGGCGGCAAAACTGTAACGATAAGTGGTAGAAACGGTGGCTTCCCAGGGGGAAGGGGGGCCAACGCGATAGGGTTGAAGATGGCCTTTCAACGTGCCAGGAAACACTGGAACAGCTGTGGAAGGTGACTTTATCCAGGGCACATCAATATGGCGATGTCTCCAATTGCAGTGCAGGTTGAGATTAGGTGAAATCAAAGAAGTTGGACCCTTCCACTGTGGATCTGGAAGCAACCTGTAAGACACTAAAGGACGCTGCAATATTTCTTCCTTCCAGAAATGAAGTTCAGCAGGCGTAAAATTCCTGTTGCCAAATAACCAGGGTGACCAATATGTGATCTAAGATGTGCTTCAGAAAATTGACAAGTCCTGGCCTGTATCAAAGATGGGGCACTTTGTGCTGGAGTGACATAGCTGTGCGGTAGATCTGCACTGCGCACGAAAATAGTCCACTTTGCTACATCCAAAGCAGCTTTTATCCTTTGCAGGATTCTGGGGCACGGTGGAGGACAAAGCCATGGCTAGCAGGCGAGCTTTGTGCATCTCAGTGCCCACTGACTGGCAGGCTTTAAGCACATCTGCAATGACTATATTGGGAGTTGTCATCAAAGGGCGCAGCGCTTGCTTACAGTCCTCATTATCATACGCAAGCTGGCGGACAATCAGTTCTTGGGCTGCTACGTCCTGAACTTGCCGCTTAAGAGTGTTATCCAAGCGATCGACAAATTGTCCATAGGGCTTTGTAGGACCCTGTCTGATGCTGCCACCGCGCTCATTCTTGTCATCAGGAACAGAGGACAAAGCTTCTTGGGCGGCAGCAGTGGTAGCTGTCCAATACATGGGATCAAGGGCCAACTGTTGGGCAATAGTAAGAAAATTGCCTTCGCCAGTTAAGCCATCAAGAACATCAGTTTGGTTCAGCATAACAGGGGCTGGGGGTGCAGGGCCATTGTCCTTGACAGAAGAATACAGTTCCTTTATGAATCTCAAATCAAACTGGTCGTGCCGGGCTGGGCCTCCCCCTGGGGCGGCAGTAACACTCACAGGAAAAAGATTAGGAGTTGTAGAATCAAAAGCCAACAACGGAGCAGCGGCACGGAGAGATTCTTGGAGAGGAGTAGTAGAAGCGGTGCCAGAGGCCTTGGGCGCAGGAGGTGGAAGAACGGGGGGTGCTGCAGAATTTGAAGAATGCAGGGGAGTGACGGGAGAAGCCGGAGGGAGAATGTCCGGCGGTTTAGGAGGTAGGTTTGAGGCAGGCAAAGCGGGAGCTGGGAGGGCGGGCGAAGAAGCTGTTGCGGCAGCCAGAAGAATGTTTGAAGGAGTTAAGCACGACATAGCTTTGTAGACGTTACTCCAGGCGTGCAAAACCTTGACATCAATCTGAGGATGATTTTGAAAGAAGTGTCCAATTTTTTTCCAATCGTCTAACTCCCAATTTCCGTCCTGGGGGAACCAGGGGCAGTGAGTGTCCAGGGCTTTTATAAGGGACTTAAGGTCAGCTTTCCGAACAGCAAGGTTGTTACTGGCCAAAAGGAATTTAAGGTCTTTAAAAAATTTTTTCTGTGGTGCAGAGAGAGATTTTCCCATGATTGCAAGAGTTGCAAAAAGAGCAGGGAGCACTTACCGGAGGGATCCTTAGGAGGATGAGGGAGGCGCCTTTTGCCCTGTCCGGGCGGAGGTAAGTGCTGATAAGTCCGTAACGTAGTCCAGAATCACATTCACACGGGAGCTCTCACCGGGGATCCACTACGTGGATGAACGACGCGTCTGCAGCCCTTCCGGGCGAGGTGAGAGCTGAACGTTGTACACACGGGAGCACTCACCAGGGATCCACTACGTGGATGAACGACGTGTTGGTGAGTGCTGAATAATGAAAAACAGGCAGTCACACGGGAGCACTCATCAGGGATCCACTACGTGGATGAACGACGTGTTGGTGAGTGCTGAATAATGAAAAACAGGCAGTCACACGGGAGCACTCATCAGGGATCCACTACGTGGATGAACGACGTGTTGGTGAGTGCTGAATAATGAAAAACAACGTGAAGTCCGAAGGCAATCACACGGGAGCACTCACCAGGGATCCACTACGTGGATGAACGACGTGTTGGTGAGTGCTGAATAATGAAAAACAACGTGAAGTCCGAAGGCAGTCACACGGGGCACCAATTGTCGAGTTGCAGCTCGGCATCCAGAGGAAAATCAGTCTCACACCATGATAGGTTCCGAAATATGGCTGCTCTAGGGCTAATGCAGCACAGCTTTTATTGTGTGAAATAGAAAGATACAAAAAATACAAGCCAAGCAATTTGTTCTAGCAAGCAGATAAGAACCTTCGCACTAGACTATGCGAGCATCAGGCCATGCTACGTTAGCCAATCATATGGGACAGCACGAGCTGTTCACGCGCTGTTCATGCTCCAAGGATGCTTCTAGCTATGAAATCACCCTGTAACAATAAGAACTTTGCTCATGCTCTCATGTACAAGCAATCATTTTCCCACAGTTACATGCCACCCCAATCTCTGAACAGTGCAAGATTCTGAAGGATGTGTGGATCCAAAATTGACCTCCACAGTCACTTACGGACTCATTGTTAAAACCGTGTTTATGGAAGACAGTCTTACTTGGCTATGAGTGATCACCAAAGAAGATGACGACTAGGGTTTGTGTTCCCTTTTGGGACAAGGAGGCACAGCATAGACTGTGGTGTCCTTATGAAATATGGTTTATTTGCACATATATACAGCCTAAATGTAGATGAAGGGATAGCAGAGCATTCTCATCCCAAGCAGGTCTGGCCTCATCCATAAGCACAGCATTGGATTTAAATAACGGGGGGGGGGGGCATGTTCTTTGTCTCCTCTTTCATAGCCTTCCCCCATCATGTTCTGCCCCACCTTGCTCTGCTTCCCAAACCACTTGCAAAACTGACATTCCCTACCCCACCCTGAAATCCTAAACCCCTTTGGTCTCTACCCACCAACACCACTGGAGGAGGGGGCAGGGCCCCTTCCCCTCCTTGTCTGGCAGTCTCTGCTCTCTCTTGATGATTTTCTTGATAAGTCCTTACTGTACTCCCCCCCCCCCTTAATGGCTTTCACTCAGCTAGCCCTGCCAGGTTAGTCTGGCTTGCTAGCATAAGATAAACCCAGGAATTCCCATATTTGGCACAGTTTAGTCAAACCTTGATTAATGCTAAACTTTACTAATACTAATAATTATGGGTGCCTTGTACCTACAAAACTCTGGCAACCCGAACACAGAAGATTATGTAGAAGATTTTGGTTAACAAAATCTAGGAGAGAAGTCACCAAAACAAACAAACAAACAAACAAACAAACCTTTAATTTGCAACATGTGGTATATTGGGCTCAACAAATAATGTCCTTATAAAGCATTTTGCTTTTTCACCCCAACAGATTATGTCATAGTGTCCCATGCCTGGAAGGTGGTGTAACAGTTTCATTTGATCTCTTCCTCCGCTGAAAAGCCACTTGTCCACAAAATCGTTATCATGGTCCGGACATCTCAATTCTTAAACTGGTTTGGTCAACTTCTCTGCATTGTTCCAGACATAGTTATACCACTCTTGCATTGTAGATCCATCATCATCCTTCCAATGTTTTGCTACTACTTGTCTTACAGTTACTAATAAAAAGGTGTTTATGTATCTAAATGGTTTGGTTTGGTTCTGTTTTGTCAGAAATAGTCAATAATGCCAGGGGTTTTTGCTGTTGTTTTAAACAATAAGGTGCCCAGCTAATTTGCTGCACTCTGCCAACACCTTATTCTAACATACTTGAATCATGGGTCAACTCCACCACATATGGGAGATCATTCCCAAAGAATGTTTCCCAAAGTTCTTTAGGTTAACTTTTGAGGTATACAGCACCATGTGTGTAACCTGTTAAGTGTCTTTACCAATACCAATTTCAGTAGACTTCTGTGTCATAAGGAGTCTCAGTGTACCTGAGATATACCGGTAGTTTCTCCTAAGAATGTAAGAAGTGCCCAGCTATTGGATCAGACCAATGGCCCATCTAGTCCAGTATCCTGTTCTCATGGTGGCCAACCAGGTGCCTCTTCTGGGAAGCTCGCATAACAGGATATTAGCACAATGGCATTCTGCTTTTGACAGTGGATTTAGATAGAACATAGCCATTGTGCCAGTAACCATTGATAGCCTTCTCCTCATAAATATTTTCCCCAAATTTCTTTTCATTTGCTAGCTGTGCCAATCCCATGTTTATATGTATTAACTGTGGGTGCTGAATGGCAAATAGACAGCACTGTGCATCCTCTGGGGCACACTTCCTTATTCCTTCGCTTACCTAGGCTGATGTACGACTGACATGTTCCCCAGGTGGCAAGGCAGAATTTTGACCCTTCCCGTCTGCCGTACATAGATGGTAATTGCACATGGTGGTAAACTGAGACCCCTGCTTCCAAGATGACCTTTCGTCTCCATTCCAATTGCTGGTGGTGTCAGGCCCCTGTCAGCTTGCCCGGGTATGAAATGAATATAGCATCAGAATGAAGCCAGCTGCTAAATTTATGTCTTGGGGGCCGAGAAACATCTTTAGTATTAGGCAACCAAGTCACTTGCTGGTGGCCTCTTTCGCTACTGCCGACCGGGACTGAGAAGACGTCTGATCATGGTCAGTACTGACTTGCTGTGGGCTAGGCCTGCCTTTGGGGTGGGTGGGTGATCTAGGAACAATGGGGCTGGGAGTTTTGTAATGGGGAGACACCATGTGATGGTTTTGCAGTATTAATTAACTTTTGTAAGCTGCATTCTGATGGCTGTACCCTGAGAAGCAGCATATAAGTATTTTGAATACATAAAACATTCTCCAGCATTTCCCCAGAAACACAATAAACTTTGTAATGGACCTATCCTCACACTAAGGATCACCCAGCCCCACTTCAACACATTTCTGCAGCCTCACAGACCCCCTTTGCTATATTAATCAGTAGCTTGTCATTCACTGAGGACCATAACTGTGCTGGACTGGGACCTGGGAGACCAGGAGTTCAAATCCCAAAGCATCCCACTGGGATGTTCTTGGGAATCCCACTGGGAAGTTCTTGGTCGATGACTGTTATCTTTGTGGGTGTGCTTTACTTTCACCTCTTTTTTCACACACACCCCAGTCCCACCGCAAGTTTTCAGCTCCCAGGCATGGCCACCTGGGCTTTCTCCCTCACAAGAGGAGCCACCGTCACCGCGGGAAGGTGAAGACGTGGCCCAAAGATGACCCCAGCAAACCGGTTCACCTGACGGCCTTCCTGGGCTACAAAGCAGGCATGACTCACATCCTCCGGGAACACTACAGGCCGGGGCTAAGTAAGTGGAAGGATTCATGGGAGGAGTTGATGCAAAGCTGGGGGAAAGGGCTGTAGCTCAGTGGTGGAGCACAGAAAGGTCCTCAAAGGCATCTCCAGTTGTAGGGTCGCAAAGAGGTGGCCTGGGAAAAAGCTCTCTCTGCCTGAGGCCCTGGAGAGCTGCTGCCAGTCAGAGTAAGAACAGAGAGCTAGATGGACCAATGTTGGTATAAAGCAGATTCCTGTGTTCAAATTCAGGCATCAACCCCCCCAGCATGATTGAGCATGTGCTGGTGGTCCTGGGGCTCAGAAGGAACCATCACCAACTAGCCTGACCCAACTACTGCCAGCAGTAACTCACTCATCCACTCAACCCCACCAGGACATCCTATAAGAATAATAATAAGAATTTGGAAGCCAAATCTGATCTGCAGCGGTCACCCACCATATTAATTACTCCTATACAACACTGTGAGGAAGGGTGTTGCATTTTGGGTAATTTAATATTGCTGGGGCTGATGGGAGTTGTCGTTCTGCACAGTGCTTTTTTTTCATAGAAAAATAAGCGTCGGTACTCACCATGAAGTTTTTACAGTTAAGTGCCACACTTTTTAACATCAACTAAAAGAGGTGGTGGTACTGTGTACCTGTGAGTACCCCCTGGGAAAACGCACTGGTACTGCAGCATCCGGTGGGCCAAAGGTTCCCATTCCAGCTGAATACTGAGCTAGACGGACCAGCAATCTAACTCTGCACCAGGCCGTTTCCTGTGATTCTAAGCCTGTTTCTTCTGCATTCCTTTAATTTCCAGAGGTCTCAAAGAGGGAGGAGGTGGAAGCTGTCACCATCATAGAGACACCACCTTTGGTGGTCGTTGGACTGGTGGGCTACATCGAGACGCCCAGGGGTCTGAGGAATTTCAAGACCATCTTCGCAGAGCATATCAGCGATGAATGTAGAAGACGTTTCTACAAGAACTGGTGAGCGGTTTCCTGTGTGGCAGACAGAGGGAATGGGCAGACAAAATGGTCCACAGGTGCCACATGGCAGATGTCCAATCAGCACATACATGTGGAGGAAACATCTCTAACTGGTTGTTACAGACAGGGCTGGCCCTACCATTGGGCAGCGTGAGGTGTGTCATGAAAAGGCCCCCAGGAGTTTTGGACTACAAATCCCATCAGCCTCAGCCTCATGTGGCTGTGCTGGCTAGGAGTAATGGGAGTTATAGTATAAAACACCTACAGGGCCCCAGGTTGCAGAGAGGCTAGACTACGCAGGCAGGTCGTTCTGCAAATTCCTTGGTAGAAATGTGCAGTAAGAACATAACATAAGAACATCAGAGAAACCTGCAGAGTCAGGCCAATGGCCCATTTAGTCCAGCATCCTGTTCTCACAGTGGCCAACCAGTTGCCTGTAGGAAAACTGCAAGGAGGATTCGAACATAAGAGCACTCTTCTGTCCTGTGGTTTCCAGCAAGTGATATTCAGAAGCACTGCTGCCTCCAACTGTGGCAGACCCTCCAACTGTCCCTATTTTCCAGGGACAGCCCTGGATTTACAGAAGCTGTCTTGGTTTCTAATTTGATCCCGGAATGTCCCACTTTTCCTTAGGACATCCCTGTTTTCACTGGGGAAATGTTGGAGGGTATGGTAGGACGTCCCTATTCCAAACAGGGTTGCATCAAAAATTTGTATAACAGCGTTATGAAATTGGCAGCTTTATTTTCAGTTTGTTTCCTAATGATCTCTAGCACGGAAGTTGCCTTTTTCACAGCCTAAACCCTGTGGCTGATGGTTCACGATGGGTCTCTCCTTTTCAGGCACAAGAGCAAGAAGAAAGCATTTACCAAGTACTGCAAGAAATGGCAGGATGAGGCCGGGAAGAAGCAGCTGGAGAAGGATTTCGCAGCCATGAAGAAGTACTGCAAGGTCATCCGCATCATCGTGCACACCCAGGTGAAGCCTTCCCATAATCCTTTGGGGCAGCCCTAGGGAAGAACGGTGCTTTGCAAAGCGGTGGCACTCTCTCTCTGTTGCATTGTGTTAACGCTGAGCTTCTTTGGCTGCAGATGAAGCTCCTGCCACTGAGACAGAAGAAGGCTCACATCATGGAGATCCAGCTGAACGGGGGCACCGTGGCAGAGAAGGTGGACTGGGCTCACGAGAAGCTGGAGAAGCAAGTGCCCGTCAGCACCGTCTTCTCCCAGAACGAGATGATTGACGTCATTGGTGTCACTAAGGGGCATGGGATGAAAGGTAGGAAGGGGCAGTGGTGAGCCTTGGCATAGAGATGTTTTCTGTATGACTTTACTTATTTATTGCATTGATATCTCACCTTTTTGTCCCAGGAGCTCAAGGGGACATACATGGTTCTCCCCCCCACCCTTTCAATCCCTTTCACCATGAGAGGCAGTGATTGACCTAAGGTCACCCAGGTCTCACTGGTTTTGGACTACGGCTCCCATCACCCCCAGCCTAATACGGCCTTGTTGGCTGGAGCTGATGGGAGTTGTAGTCCAAAACATCAGGAGGGCACCAGGCTGGGGAAGGCTGCCATAGATTGTGGCCAGATTGACTTGGGGCAGTTGCTATCATAGTCTTGATAAGGGAGGGGAAAGGGTGGGTGGTAGGAATCTGCACGCTTTTGAGGCCCAATATATGCAAAATGCTGTCCCAGAAGAAAATGATTGATTCCAGGAGTACCAAGGATTTTGGGAAAACAAGTTTCTAGACCTCATTGCTGCTGAGAACATCTAGGCCTTTTTTCTGTTTCATGGCTTAGAGCGCCTCCCCCCAGCCTGGTGCTGTGCAGATATTTTGGACTACAAGCCCCAGACATGGTGATGGGAGCTAATGTGAGTTGTAGTCCAAAAAGGAAAGGGCTGTAGCTCAGTGGTAGAGCATCTGGTTTGAATGCAAAAAGTTCCAGGGTTCAGTCTCTGGTATCCCCAGCTAGGACTGGAAGAAACCCCAGTCTTCTGAAACCCTGAAGAGCCTTTGCTAATCAGTGTAGACAGCTGAGATAGATGAACCAAAGGCTTGATCAGCATAAGGAAGCTTCTTATGTTTCTATTTCAATCCGCCCTTTAGTCTGATTCTATGAGGACTAGAATCTTGCTTTATTTTTCAGGAAGATAGCATAGTCGAGGTAGGCTGAACTTTGCATGGATCCCTGGCACCTCTAGGGCTGTCTGAGAAAAACTCGTGCAGGGAGATTTTAACAACCTCTAACAACATGACCTTTTTCATTTAGGTGTGACAAGTCGATGGCATGCTAAGAAACTCCCTAGGAAAACTCACAAAGGACTGCGTAAGGTCGCATGCATTGGAGCCTGGCATCCTGCCCGGGTGGGCTACTCCATTGCCCGGGCTGGCCAGAAAGGCTACCATCACCGCACAGAACTTAACAAGAAGGTACAGTGCCCTTCTTCCTTCACCTTCCTTCCTTCCTGTTCTTTTGGGCTCATTCACAATGGACTTGAGTCTGTTGCTGGTTGGCCCCAGGCTGACGTCACCATTCCATACCCACCTGCTCACCCAATCTCTTGGGAGTCTGGGAAATGCTGATGGCAATAGCTCCCCAGCACCTGAACTCTTTCTATTGTTGTTAATTTCTTTTTTACAAGAAACAAAGACTCAAAAATGTAAACCATAAAGTGTCACAGCCTAGAAGGACAAAGGTATAGCACAGATCCAAAGGTATTATAAAGTACCGTATTTTTCGCCCTATAGGACGCACTTTTTCCCCTCCAAAAATGAAGGGGAAATGTGTGTGCGTCCTATGGGGCGAATGCAGGCTTTCGCTGAAGCCTGGAGAGCAAGAGGCGTCGGTGCGCACCGACACCTCTCGCTCTCCAGGCTCCAGGAAGCTATCCGCAAGCCTTGCACGTCCGGGGGGAGTTCCCCCAGGTGTGCAAGGCTTGCAGGCGGCAGCCTGCAGGGCGGAGCATGGGGCGCCCTCCGGAGGACGCCACGTGCTTCATGCAGGTGTCGGCAAGCCTTGCGCACCCAGAAGAACTCCCCCCTGGCGCGCAAGGCTTGCGGGCGGCAGCCTGCAGCGCGGAGCACGGGCGCACTCCGGAGGAAGTATTCTCCACCTGTGAGTTCCATCATTATTGAGAATAAAGATTCTAGACAGTCTTAAAGGAGCCAGATATTGGCATGTATTGGTGGTGTCTATTTCAATAAGAAATAAAATCACGCCATATATGAATAAAATCCGGTCATTCAAGCTTTGCCCTTTAAATAGTTTTGGTTTGTGACAAATCTTTTTAAGAAGGGCAATTTGCAAAACCCTTGAATGCTATAAATCCTATTAAGATTAAAGGTCTTCCAGGATTTAACAATACAGTTCCAGGCTGCTGGTACTTTTAAAATTCCATACTGTTTCCATGTACAGGTTCAAAAGTGCCAGGTGGAAAGATGGAGTAATAGTTGATTTTGGGTTTTTATTTCTTTTGTTAACAACAGCAACAAATGTGCAAACATAACTGAGCCTCATCTCTTCTTCACCTTAGGTTTACCGCATTGGGCGTGGGGTTCACATAGAAGATGGCAAAGTGGTGAAGAACAACGCCTCCACCAATTACGACACAACCGAGAAAACAATTACCCCGCTGGTAAAATAGAATCATAGAGGTGGAAGGGATCACAAGGGTCATCTAGTCCAATCCCCCTGCAATGCAGGGACCTTTTGACCAATGTCGGACTCAAACCCGTGACTCTGACAGTGGTCCTTCCCCTTATGTACTTGTGCCCAGATTTGTGGTGGGCACTCTGTCGCTGGCCCTGCGGCTTCTTTCTCTACATTAATGCACCTTTCTGCCCCCAGGGTGGATTCCCTAAGTACGGAGAAGTCAACAATGATTTCGTGATGGTGAAGGGTTGTGTGGTGGGCACCAAGAAGCGGGTGCTCACCCTCAGGAAGGTGAGGCCTATATCAGAGACATGGACTGTGAGGGAGATGCGACTTCCTGTGAGGGTGGGTGGGGCTCAAAGGAGACTGGTTGGATTTGGACCCAAGCAATGAGCAGGTGGCCAGTTCATTTCCATGTCCAAATCTAGGTGTTTAAAGCCCTAAATGACTTAGGCCCCAAATACCTGAAAGACTGCCTCCTTCCCTACAGGCACACTCTCAGGTGTTAAGGTCAGCAGAAGGGGCCCTCTTGGAATCTGCACCACCCTCAGGCATTTGGGGTGGTAGTAGTCCGGGAGAGAGCAATCTCTGGAGCAGCCCCAAAGTTGTTCACCTTTGCCAGACAGTGTCTGTTGTATGCTGAATGTTGTATGCTCTCCTGACACATCAGATATCTGTCTTTGGTAGTCACCTTATTCCAGGGGCTTTCATTTGTTTAAAGCTGTTTTTAATATTGAATCTTAAATTGTCATAACCCACCCTGGGACCTGATGGTGAAGGGTGGGAAACGAATTAAAATAATAATCAATAGTAGTACTAATAATGGCACGAGACTGTAGGTGCTTTGTTCCCGAGGGAGAAGGGAAGTTGGAGCTACAGCTAAGCGTCCATTCTCTGAAGGATTTTGGGAGCTGCTGTGGGGACAATAACATTGGCTTGCCTTACAGGAGTGTTGTGACGACCACAAGAAGTAAAGAAACATGAAATACAATGAGCAGCCTTTGTAAACACCTCTTAAGAAAGGCAGGAGATAAACTTTAAGCAATCGTTCTTGTTCCTACAATTTAATACTATTTATTATTGTTAACAGGGTGGCGCTGTGGGTTAAACCACAGAGACTAGGACTTGCCGATCAGTAGGTCGGCGGTTCGAATCCCTGTGATGGGGTGAGCTCCCATTGCTTGGTCCCAGCTCCTGCCAACCTAGCAGTTCGAAAGCACGCCAAAAATGCAAGTAGATAAATAGGTACCGCTCTGCGCTGCTCTGGTTCGCCAGAAGCACCTTAGTCATGCTGGCCACATGACCCGGATGCTGTACGCCGGCTCCCTCGGCCAGTAAAGCGAGATGAGCGCCGTAACCCCAGAGTCAGCCACGACTGGACCTTATGGTCAGGGGTCCCTTTACTTTTTATTGTTAACCTTGACCTAGCAAGGTTCCCTTTCGACAGACCAGGGACTGGCCTATGGCATGGGTTTGGCATGCCACCAGTACAAAATTGCCTGCCACCAGTACAAACTTACACTGGGTTGAGGCAGCAGTTACAAGTTACCGGTCTCTGCAGCCACAGCAGGCACTGTGATTCTCCAGCGGTTTGACTTCACCCCTAGAGGCGCACTCCATTGTCTCTCGAGACAGATGGATGCCAACAAATGGTGTAAGACCAACATATGGAGAATAGTCAAGGGGCTGCCGCACCCCCATATCTTTCACCTGAGGTGGTCGTCTCACCTTGCCTAATGGTAGGGTTGTCCCCATGTCACTCAGCTAAGTTGTCCATGTTCAACAAGTGATCCTCCACAGAAAACTCTGCCCCCTCACCCTTGCACTTTCATTTAATGGACCCCTTTCCTTTCTTCCAGTCCCTTCTGGTCCATACAAGCAGGAAGGCCCTGGAACCTGTGGAGCTGAAATTCATTGACACAACCTCCAAGTTTGGTCATGGACACTTCCAGACGGCTCAAGAAAAGCGTGCTTTCATGGTGAGTCTTAGCCATGAAACATGATGCAGAGAAGAAAAAACCCTTAGAGAAGGATATGTGACCAAATGTGACTGGGGGAAGCAGCGCTGCCAACCAATACTTGGGATAAGGGTACTAAAACTTCTTCCTACCTGAGGCACATCTAAGAAGCACAACCCCATTGTGCCATTTCTTTTCTCTGCCCTGAAACTTAACGAATCATAGAACTGCAGCTTGTCTCCATTGGGTTCTAGTATTATGGGGGGAGATATCTCCACATCATACAAACTTCTGCAAACTTCTGTCAAGTCCTATCATATTTGCCTCCCCCCAACACTTAAGAAGCCCCCAATATTGTAGCCTTTCTGCATAGGAAAGTTGCTCTAACACCCCTGATAATTTTGATTACCCTTTCCCGCGCCTTATCCAGCTTTGCAATATCCTCTTTGAGATTTATACATCACCTAAGAACAGATTTTTTTGATCCCAAGTAGAAAATATATTTTCCATTTCAATTCAAACAAAAAAAAAAAAGTGATAAATTTTAGGGAAAGCATTAGGTGGATGACCAGCCTTCCCCAATCTGGTGCCCTCCCGATGTTTTGGACTTCAACTTCCGTCAGGCACAGCACCGTATGATTGTGCTGGATGAGGCTGATGGTAGTTGTAGTTCAAAGCACCTGGAAGGCCCCAGCCTGGGGAATGTGGCCAAATACCAGCCAAAGATACTCCACTAGGTATTGTCCTGCTCTCTTTTACACCTGAAGGATAGGAGTGATGAGATTTGTTAGTTCAGAACACCTAGAGAGGAGGCACTATGTTACCTACCCCTGCTAGCCACATTTGTTGGAAATGAAGGGCAGTTTCGCACCAGTCAGGAAAACAGGCTGCCCTGCAACATCTCCAATACCTCTCACTCCCTGTGGAGACAAGACAGCAAAAAGAGCAAAAAGGTACAAAAGTCTCCTTTTGCCTCTGATGCAAATTATTGCCTTTTGTCTTGCAAGCATAGCTTTTAAGAGTCCATGGCCATTTTTTTCTGCTTCTGTTCCAGGGCCCACAGAAGAAGCACCTGGTGAAGGGGAAGGTGGAAACCCAGGAGGAATTGTGAAAAGGGCTTCTCCTAAGGTGTTTCTGGACTCCAGTCCAACTTTGTCGCTGCTTTGAATAGTTGCAAACATGAATACACTGAAACAAAACCGGTGATTAGTGTTATGTTCTCGAAAAGGTATACCCCCCCCCACATTTGTCTCAGAAGTCTATCAGGGCCATGCATTTATAGCATCATCTGGACTTAGAATCATAGAATCGTATAATTGTAGAGTTGGAATGGCGCCAGAAGGTCATCTAATCCAACTCCCTGCAATGCAGGAATCTCAACTAAAGCATCCATGGCAGACAACCATCCAACCTCTGCCTTAAAACCTCTGAGGAAGAAGAGTCCACCACCTGAGGAAGTCCATTCCACTGTTGAACAGCTTTTACCATCAGAACGAGCAGCTCTGCCTCTTTGGGTACTTTGACAGAGACCAAATGCAAGAGACACAAGGAATAACAACAGCAAACAGACCCCCAGAGATCGTTGCAAACCTTTATTTCCCTTCACCTTCCCCATCATTCCTAGTTGCCTCTGGCTCACACGTCATCCGTGGTTTGTAAAGCCCTTTGATTAGTTGCGACCATTTCATTGTCGTGAATTTCCAAAGCTATTGCTCTGTTAAAATGTTTTATTGCATGGGAAACGGAAACAGTACCTCTAAAACCCACTTCATGCTGCCGGGTGAGCTGTCACGACCGGCTCGGCTTCCTTTGCATTGCTGAATGTCCCTGATGTGAAATCTCCTGGGACATGACATGGATTTAGAGCATCTTCCCCCAACCTGGTTCCCTTAGGCTGTTTCGGACTGCAACTCCGATCAGCTCCCACTAATGCTGGCTAGGGCTGATGGAGATTGAAGTCCACAGTGGCAATGCTAGCTGGGGTTGATGGGAGCTGTAGTCCAACATTGTGGGAGGGTACTAGGAAGGCTGGTTTAGAGGCAGGGTTGCAAAGGTGGGCTGGGGTGCTCTAGGCAGGCAGAGGGTATATATAACTATTGAGAAAGTAGAGGCACCTCTCCTTTCTGCCTCACTTGTGGCACAGCATGGAAAGGTTTCAGGAATTAACACAATATGCTTCTCTTTCTAACACAGGCAGTCCATATCTTTAGCACTCAGATAACAGGGCTAAGCCTCCAGAAGCCACGCTTGCCTTGTTCCTCCACTCATGGTTCCTAGGTTGCCTCTTTCGATAGTCTCTAATCTCACAGCAGTAAATAGCACACCTCCAAGAAGGAGGTTGTGGAGCTTTGAAAACCTCCTCCCTATCCCCACCAAAGACTGTCATGAAATTGACCACAGCCTCCAGCCCTGGAGTGTCCCAGCTGCAGAGTCCACATGCTCAGGAATCCTAAGGATTAGTCTAGATGTAATTGTGAGTGTGTTTTCAAATCCCTGTGGTCAGCAGCACCAGCCCCCTCTCTTCGCCAATCAGCCACCAGCCGTGGAAGGGGATGGTGCTGTTCTGGATCACAACTGGGGCATAGCCAGGGTGAGGGGAGGTTGATCCTTTCCTGCCAAAAAACCCTCCTCATAATTTGTGATTTTAATTTTAAAAAGCCACGTAATGAATTATGTAAATTGTGTCGTCAGTATGTTATTCCACCCCATTCACTGAGTGCCTTAGGAGACCCCCTATTCCCTGCAAGGAGCTTCAATTCTCAACAGCTTTAACAAACTAAAGTTCCCAGGGTTCCTTCTTTTTGGGGGGAGCCTTGGCTGTTAAAGTGGTGATACATTCTCGCTTGGTCTCAACCTGCATTCCACACTTTCCTCATCAATTTGGAGGCTTGAATTCCCTTAAACCTCCCCTCCCCTCATCAGGAGAAGGGAGAATTTTCACAGAGTAAAGAGTTGTGTGATGTTTTTCACAAGTTCCTTGCATGCCTTCCCTGGGGGAAATACGAATGCTTCTACTGTTAACTCTCTCGGTTTCCTTTCCTCTGGCCTGTGAGTAGCAAGGAGGTCAGAGAGATGATTCACTCAGAGGCTCGATGTTCAGATTTTGGGATTTCTCTCCCCACCATTGCAAACCTGGGTGGAAATAGGAGGACTTCAGACTGCTTGCAGAAAGAGCCCTTTCTTTCCTTGTCATCCCCTCTTTTCTTTGGCCTCTTCAGTTTTAATGACTGTTCTGACATTTAAAAGATGCTTAACATGGCTGTTATTTGCAAAGACGGGACCTAGGTGGAAGTGGGCTTGGAATCTCCCCTACTTTCCCCCCCTCTTTGCAAAGCTAATGACAGCACTACAGAAATTCTTCCTTGCACTGGTAGGAATCTGGTGCTTGTAAGGGAGAATCTTGGAGTATCTCCTCTAAACTGAGAAATGTATCCTGTGAAATATCCAGAGGATGGGTGGGGGGGGGGCTCTTTTACTGGAGAGAAGCCCCTGAACGACAAGCTGAAGAGATGAGCCAGCAGAGATGAGACCAGCAGTGTGGCTGAAGGGTGATGCTGGGTTCGCAGGCCCTGATAATCCTGGAGGACCCCATCAAGCATCTTGAGCCAGCCAACCCACCAGTGGGCAGTTCCTCAAAATTTTGCTGCGCCCTCTCCTGGGAATTCCTTCTGGAGTCCTTCTGTGGGCAGCTGGGATTCCAAACCAGAATGCATGAGGGGTAAGATGAGATCGTCCATATTTGGCATCACTAAAATTTTCTAAGGGGTTGAAGGGGTGGGAGGGAGAGAAAAGAAATCAGGTTAGAAATATGCCACCAAGTTTTCTGCAAGCAAAAATGCCTCTAGAAGGCTCGGCGCCTCCAAGTGGTCTATATAATGGAGATGATCTGCTGAGAACTGTGGTCTCTATGGGCCCTTCCAGAGTCTGTTTATTGAGCATTCATCTTGATATACTTCCACAAAGCTAACACTGAGGTTTGATAAGATCCAGACTTTACTGAGCACCCATGCTCTCCAGTGCAATTCTCTGTCACTTTCAAAACCACAAGGAGTATACGTCTGTTTGCTTTTAAAGTGGTTTCATTGCACTTTGACCCACTTTCAGTGTGGAAGCCTAGAGCTCTAGTATGTGCTTCAAACCCTCCTGCGAGGCGGTAGCAGTCTGGAGGCACCTATGGTGGAAATGCACTTAGCAGGAAACTCATTGATGTGTCTGAACAGGACAGCTCCATCTCCTCTCTCCTCTCTCTAATGGGTGCCACAGCTTAGTCCACCTCTTGATGTCATTGCACCAGGGATGGGCAGCCTTCAGGTTTGCAGGCTCTGCTTTCCTGTGTTTTTTTACTGGAACCCCAGGACCCACCATCCAGGTGCACAATAGTGGCTGGGTGGGACACTGTCTTCTCAGAAGACGCACCTAGTTTTTAGAGGAGAAAAACAAGAAACAAGGAAGCAACGCAAAGCCTCTTGAGCAAAGAGGCAGGAGCGCTCCCGCTGCACTCAAGAGGCTTTGCATGGCTATCCCTGAAGCCAGGAGAGCAAGAGGGATCGGTGCGCACCGATCCCTCTTGCTCTCCTGCTTCAGCGATAGCTGCACAGCCTGCATTCACTTCATAAGACACACACACATTTCCCCTTACTTTTTAGGAGGGGAAAAGTGCATCTTATAGAGCGAAAAATACGGTAAGGGACAAGGTGCCTCTGAATGCTCAGCTCAGTAAGTTTTCAGTGCCACAACAGAGTTTGCACTCTTTGTGCAAAACCCACTTCTGGTTCTGCTACCACCAGCAGCATCTCCCCCCAGCAGGCTTTTTTCATCACGTGGCAGATTCAACAGGAAGGCTCCATTCAGGGGAACTGTAAAAGCCCACTGATAAGAGAACACCTGTGTTGCATGCAGAAGTCCCCAGGTTCAATCCCCTGCAGCACCTTCAGATAGCACTGGGAATATGCCCTGCATAAAACACTTGAAAGTCCCTGCCAGTCATTGTAAACAATACTAGGCTAGAAGGACCGATGGTCTGACTTGGGCTAAGGCTGTTTTCTAGGCCCCAAGAAAGAAGGACTGTAGCTCAGTGGTAGAGAATCTTGTTTCCATGCAGCAGGTCCCACTGGCATCTTCAGGTAGGGCAGGGAGGGACTCCTTGTCTGAGACCCTGGAGAGCTGCTGCCTGTCAGTGTAGATAATACTGAGCTAGATGGACCACTGGTGAGACTCAGTACAAGGCAGCTTCCTGTGCTCACAGCTGTTTTGGTAAACAGCCTTAGCCAGACCTATCCTTCAGCAATCTGTCTCATCGCTTTCAGAAAAGTTAGCTAACCAGGTGGCCATCATGATTCTATGATTCTATAACCAAATCTTGTGGTAACGAATGACTTTATTAGACTCCATTCCTTGCTTTGAGCCCAGCGGGCCTATTTTAGGAACCTGGCCTATTTCCGGAGACAGGTACCTGGAATTCATGCTGAAGCTTCTTCTCGATCCATTCTGTGACATGGATGAAGGTGACCTCTCGTTCCCCCAGCTTGGGGCGGACCTTCAGATCCAGCTGTGGTGGAGTCCGGAAGCTGTACCTAGAGCAGGGAGGCAGAAAAGACTCGTGTAGACTCTCCCTCTCCCTCTGCAACCATTGCAATGAGCCCATCCTAACATTCTTGGATGCCCCCGCCCCACCAGTGATTATTTTTTTGCTAAGAGATGAAGCACTGAAGTAGCCTGGAATATATGCAGCCCAGTTCTGCAACACCATCTTGTGGACTTCTCTGGACCACCCGGACTGCGGTTGTTTGAGAGCCTGCTCTGCTGAGCTAGATGGACAAGGGTTTCTCACTTGCTTTCCCTTTGCCCCAGTCTGGTCACACAGTACAGGCCCCAGCAAACCCTTTGAGGCCTGTTCCCCTCTCTGCCTTCTAGCTTCCTACCAGATTCGGTCAGTTGGGGGCGGTGGGATGTTCACAGCCAGCATGCCTGTCAGTTCTTGGACCTCCACCGTCAAGAGCAAGGGGGTGTTGGAGACCTCCTCTATCTTCTTCTTAATAAACTCGTTCTCGGTGGCCTTCTGGAAGTACTTGGACTTGGCAATCTTGTCCACAAAGCGTAGGATCTTCCGGCTGGTGCTGTTTCCGCTGACGTGGCTGAGAGAAAACAAAGTCAGGGTCAGCCTTGGCCCATAAAACATAGGCGAGTCTTGGGCAAGGGACATATGCCGAAGTCAAGGAACATAGAGTATGTGACCCCAAAAGTTGCTGAAAGTGGCAATTTGGTCAGTGTAGATTTGAATTTGTTTGTTTATTTGCTTATGACATTAACATCCCGCCTTTTTTCCAAGGAGCTCAAGGTAGGGTCAGAGGCACCAGCTTGCGAGGGCGTTGGGGGGGAATGTCGCATGTGTGGCATCATGAGTGACATTGACGTTGCGTCATGACATTGATGCACACGATGTCAGGATATCAGGAGGAGCTGGGTGTGTGTGGCAGTCACGTAGCTTCAATGGCAGGTGGTTTCTCCTTCCTCTCCTCCTGGTGCCACCACTGGCAGGAGGCTGCTTGAACCTTCCTCCTCCTCCATGGCAGGAGGAGGAGAAGGAGCCAGCCACTGGAGTCACACCACGCTTGGCTCCAGGTTTTGCCTCTACACTTCTTTGGGCATTGGAGGTGCCCAGCACCTACACCCAAAATATTTGAGGGGTCCAAAAGGGCTCGGCCCCAGGAGGTGGCACCCCTGGGTGGGGTACATAGCTCTCCCCTCCCCATTTTCGCCCTATAGCCTCAGGGGCTGATGGGAGTTGTAGTCCCAAATGGCTGTGCTTGGCTGGGGCTGATGGGAGTTGTCGTCTAAAGCATCTGGAGGGCAACAGGTTGTCGGGGGTTGTTCTGTGCTGTCTCTAGTTGGTTTTACCCTTCAGCCCCAGTAGGGGTACCCCTTTCTCCTGGGACCCCTGAGGGCTCCATGTTGGGGAGGTCTTCCTCGTCAGAGGACCCAGCGCTGGAGGACTCTGCATCGCTGTCAGCCAGAAGGACTAAGCGGGGCTTCACACTGCAAGGGGAGAGAGAGAGAGAGAGAGAGAGAGAGAGAGGACCCTAAGCAACGTAAGCCATTTGCAAGGGCCAAGGAAGGTCTGCCCTTGCGCAATGCTGTGTGCGTCAGGGACTGCCTGCGCTATTTAATTCCTTTCCCCCGGAGATTAAGAAGGTGCATCCTGGTGACTGCGACCTACATAAGAGGATGAGGTCCAGAAGGGAGTTTCTCAGCAGCCGGGAGGAAACGGCTGGGGAGCTTTCAAGTCAACCAGCATCTCTGTCTGTGGAGTAGCATTCCCGCCTAGCAAAACACCCTCGGCCACTGAGTCTGAGCAAGGGAACACCTGGCTTTCTTTCTACCATCCTCCTAGCTTCATTTTCTCAGGTTCATTGTGCTTGTGCTTTCTGCATTAGCTGCTGGAGAGAGAAATGGGTGTGGAAATTGCTTGTATCGCCTGGTTTGTCCCATGTTATAAAAATACAATCATGAGGTACGTCATACCCAAATTCAACTGCCTGTGGCAGCTGCCTCACTCGATCTAATGAAAGCGCCAGTCTTGCCTAATGATTTCCAGCTCCTGTTCTTATTCTTAGCACCTTGAAACTGAGCTCCTTTTACTAACCAGAGAAGGAAAAGGTGCATTTGGTGCAAAAAATGTATTATTTTATACAACATTTGCCAAACCACAAAAAGGTAAAAATAAAATAAAAGCCTGTACGTGTCAATGCCATTTGGAAAGATCTCTCAATCCCCCACCTCTCTTTCTTCCAGCTATTTACTCACCAAAAGTTACTAATGCCAAATACATACCAGAGAACCTAAGCAAACAGTCCTCACCACCCTGTAAAATCAGATCTCCATTTTGATTAAACGATGGACTCTTTCCTAGAACCAATAATTCTCCAGCTGTCCTGCCTCCTGTTGTGGCAGATGAGGACAGATGGTTGATGATCCCATCAAACAGATGGTTCAGCACAATCTCTCAGAGAGAGCACAAGTTGCTTCTCATTCCTGCCGTCCCCTGGCCTGCTTTTATCTGGTTGAAATGTAACCTTCGCTTGGCTCGCCAGGCCTGTAAATAGATCCTTTGCCCCCATTAGTGGAGTCGCCTAATCCGAACTTTTCCTAAGAGGCTATTACAGCATATCATGATTTTCCAGGCTCTTGTAATTAAAGGCCAGATTTGTTGAGAATGGGGAGCTAACACTCTTCGGACTGGTGCTGGGCTGGTGGGCTGGCCTTACCCTTCCCTGCCGTCCTCTGCCTTTCCACTCTCCTCTCCCAGGGCTTCTTTGCCTAGTTTGTACAAGTTCATCTTCGTTTCCAGGGTCATCTGCAGGGATCCGCTGTAGGTCACTTCCATGTCCACCCAAAGCCCTGCAGAGTGGAGAAGAGGACAGAGGTGGCCACTGCCAAATGGAGATGTGCATGGCTGTTGAGAAGGGATGAGCCCTTCTGTCAATGTGGGTTTCTCGAAGTTTCTCATTCCCCCCTCCCCCAATCGTAAGCATTGTTTGGAGAACGTCATTATTTCATATACAGTGGCTATATATTTCATACACACATATACTCACATACATGCATAGTTGCTTACATATTTAAATTCATTGTCATTTGGGTTCCTGATTATTTATTTAATCTTTTTATTCCATAACATTTATACGTTGCTTGACTGTAAAGGAAAACCCTCAAAGCGGTTTGCAAAGAGAATAAAACAATAAAATCATCAGTTAGAAAAGAAGTAAAAACAACTCTTTAAAGCGATATAAAATTGGCAATCACCTAAAACCAGATTAAAGCATACATCAATATTCTTTATGTCTGGGTAGGCTTGTGTAAACAAAGCAAGGTTTTAGATGATGCCAAAAAGAGCACTGCGACGACACTTACCTGATGTCAATAGACAGAGAGTTTCAGATGCCGCCACACTAAAAGATTGATTTCTCACAAATATGAAACAAGTATTATGTTCCTGTGACTTTGTCTTTTTGTCATTCATATTTGGTGGAAAGACTCATTTGTGGGGAAACATATACAGCACCACCACTAGAGGGAGGCAGTGCAAATCTGCCCCCCCCCCCCCGCATGCTGCTACAGCTCACCTCGGTGATCGATGGTTGGGCTTGACGTGCTGAGGATTTGTGGGATGGAAGTCCCCATGTCCAGTTCAGTGAGCGTGAGCTCGTTCATGAAGTACGGCAGCTGAGTTGGACCAAAAGAGAGGAAGGAGAAACAACAACAAACTGGCAGGAATGGAAGTCAAAGAAAGGCAGAAACAAAAGACTACTTTCCAGTGAAACGCCAGCATATGGGGCCAACCCCATCTTGAAAACTTGGAGAGCTGCTGCCAGTCAGTGTAGGCAGTACTGAACTAGATGGGTCTCATTCAGTATGAGAAAGAGTCCTAGGTTCCTAAAGGGAAGGTCTACAGCTCAGTGGTAAAGCATCTGCTTTGGATACAGAAACAGAGGCAAAGAGAAAACAGGCCAATTTCCTTACCTTGATTCTGCCTAGTTTCTTCTGAATCTTGTTTGAAACTAGGTCTGCCCAAAATTTTTCCCGTAGGAAGTCCCAAAACATTCTCCCAAGCACCGCATTGGCCCAAGCCGTGTTTGTGTCACTCGTGACATTCGTATCCCCAAAGAACTGAAAAGAAGGAAAAGGGAGTCACAGCACTACAATGTCTCTTAAATTCTGTATAGGATCATCCAAGAGCAAGACATTCTAAACACCTGTAAGTGCTATAACGTGTGTTATTGCTCTAAAACATTTCTGTCAATAGATTGAGATTGGGCAGGTGCCTTCACTATATTCTTTTTGACGCCTGCTGAAAACATTTATGTTTCTGTAAGCCCACCTAGCCATATAATTCAGCTACCTATGTTTGTTTCGAAAGTCTTACCAAATGATCTGTGTTTTAATGGCAATGGTTTCATGCATATTTGCTTTTCAATTAATTTGTGGATTTTGGCTGTGTTTTGAGCTCTTTGATCACGTGGTTTATAGATCTTCTAAATAAATAAGTAAATGATGTTGTTTATCCTCTGTGGCCTCCTCCAAAAGCTGAACAGAGTGTGTCTCCAAAACATTCTCCCTCCTCTGTTAATTTTGTTGAGTGTTCACTAGAGAGTCACTGAAGGTTTGCCAAAGATCTGCCGCATATTTGTAATCTGCATTTGGCATCGAATTCTGCTTGATTTAACAAAAGCCATTGTATGTGCTAAGGCTTACCTTTGATTTAGGGCAGATGTTTTTGGCCTACAACTCCCATGATCCCGAGCTAGCAGGACCAGGGATGATGGGAACTGTAGTCTCAAAACATCTGGAGGGCCGAGTTTTAGGAAACCTGATTTAGGGTGAGGACTTAGGGTCCTAACTAGACAGTATACATAAATGTGCAATGACCTCCTTTTATTTCTTTTTAAACAATGCAAGCAGTTTTGGGGACAAGTGACTAACAGGAGGGAGTGTTTAACCCCTTTGCCTTCCTTCCCCGTGGGGGATGATATTGAAAGCATTTCCCTCTTTCTGGATTACCTGATAATCTCAGAGGTTTTCTCACCTTTTTGGGTGTTGGGCTGCCTGCTGTACTGTGGGAGGGGCTCTCGGGTGGGCTGGAACATGTCCCTGTTGGGACTATTCGGGACATGTACATGTTGTAATCCAAAAGGAGCTTCTCCCGGACATTAACAACCAGGTCCTTGGGCTTGACGAGAGAAAGGAGGTCATCAGTGCTGCCTCTGCTGCTGCCACTGCTGCATGTCCCCTTTCCTGATGGGCTGAGCTGGTTTAAACCTGGCCAAGAGAAAGAAGGGGAGATTAGAGCCTTGCTGCCTTCGGTTAAAGCAGGAAACTGGGTTTTAGCCTCGGGTTTCTGAAAATCTTTATCTTCTGTTTCTTGGCAAATGTCTTGTTCTTATGAATTAGAAGGTAGTCTTATGAGTGTGTGGGCAATATCTGATCAATTTCCAATGCCAAAGGGAATGCTGAAGCATTTCCATTGCTCATACTCTCCTTCCTCTCCTGGCTTTAGCGCTTGCACTACAGTTTGTCCCTTCCCATGGCTAGCAAAAGCAGAAGGAAGTGATGCAAAAATTGAGGATTTGGGGACTAGGGTGTAATGTCTCCTGCCTCAGGAACCCAGTGCTGGCCGGAGGAGGATGCACCAGTCACCCCACCTGAGGAATAGCCCTTCTACACTGCACCAGCCTGAGGACATGACTCTCCCACAATGTCTGAAAATGATTTCCTAGCAGCCTCTCCTGCTCCACCACCTTGCAGGAACCATTGACTATTCCGCAGGCCCTTTAAATGCCACAATCAGCCTTTCCAGAGGGGTGGAGTCATTGGAGGGTCAAGCCCTGCAAGCCCTTCTCAGATAACTCTAAGCCAGGCACCCCCAAACTCCGCCCTCCAGATGTTTTGGGACTACAACTCCCATCATCCCTAGCCAACAGGACCAGTGGTCAGGGAAGATGGGAATTGTAGCCCCAAAACATCTGGAGGACCGAGTTTGGGGATGCCTGCTCTAAGCTTTCGCTGAGGCAACATCTTCCCAGACGCAGCTAGCAGGACTCACTGGTTTTGTGAACAGCATCTCAGGAGTATCCCCCCTAAAACACCCAAGTTAAAATGAACCTGAGAGAATAGCTTGTGCCAAGCACATTTTTGTGTGTGATTGGAGCAGACCCTCCAAGTGTCTCTATTTCCCAGGGACACTCCCAGATTTACAGAAGCTGTCCCAGTTTCTGATTTGATCTCAGAATGCCCCACTTTTCCTCAGGACATCCTTATTTTCATCAGAGAAATGTTGGAGGGTATGTTGGAGCTCACCTGTGACGGCATTACGCTGCTCACAGCTTTCTGCCCGGGAGGCCCTTGCAAGATGCTGGAACCATTCCTCCTTGTCTCTCCCTGTCCTGCCAAAGAGGTAAAGAGTCTTTTCCTGGGGCTCAGCTGGATGTGTTGGAGGGGTCTCTTGGACTGGAGACAGCCTTCTCTTCATAGCCTTCTCTCTTGAGTGCTCCAAGTCATGCTCACCGGAGCCTTTGCTACTCGAGTCGTCTTGCTCTGGGAGGAGAATGCAGATGGGGTATTTCTTGTTCCACATCCTCTTGCGAGCCAGCCCAGGTGGGAAGAGGAAGACCTAGAGCACCAAGGGAAGGTGTAAACTCCCAGGGGACTGCAAATCATACTAGCAATTGTTCAGTATATGCTGCAGTAGTACCAAGCTGCAAAGATATCGCTTCAGGCAGAGGTAGCCAATACAGTGCCCTCCGAATGTTCTGGACTAAAATTCCCATCAGCCCCAGCCAACACAACCTATGTTCATGAGTGGGGGGAGCTGTGTAGGATTTGGAAGGCATGACACTGGCTCCCAATGTCCTAGGCTAGGGGATCAACTGTTTTTATATTCCTGCATTGCAGACAGTTGAACTAGATGACCCTTTGGGACTCTTCCAACTCTACAATTCGATGACTACGATTTTATTCATAATATTATTTCATGGAGAACTTTTGAAACAACAATGGAACAGTAGCTCCACTCAAGGCATTATGGAAAACAGCAACGACTGACAAAAGATAGACATAATATACTACAAGGACAGGAAGAAACATCATGGACAGAATAATTGCCACACACAAGAAGAACAAAGAGAGAGTTTGAATGCTTCGCCTGTAGGACTATAAATCATTTAATGTGTTAATGCGATTGGAAGTCGTTAAAATTGCAGTTGCGGTATAAGGGTTTGTTATTCTGACTGGAGTGTAATGGAAATTTATAAGATTTTGGAATGCAGGAATATAGTAAATCATCAAACCATCATTCTAGCATGCGGGGGGGCACCTAAATTGTATAATTTGGCTTTTGAATGACTGGCATTATTAATGGGATTATTGTTATAATGAGGCTTTTCTTGGATTATTGTAACTGAAAACTAATAAAAAATATTTTTTTTATTTAAAAAAATTCACATTATTATTTCTTTTTGCCTTTTACGCCAGAGAGTACCCAAGCGGTTCACAACCAACCACAATATAATAATAAATAATGAAACATCAATCAAATGCACCGGTAAAATTTTACAGTTATCATGAAGCTAACAACTGGCATGAATAGCCTGGCAGTGCTGGAGCAAATCTGAATGCCAGTTGCTGGAAACCACAGGAAGGGAGAAGAGCTCTTGTGCTCAGGTCCTGCTTGCCTGTTTCCCACAGGCATCTGCTTGGCGACTGTCAGAACAAGATGCTGAACTAGTTGGGCCATTGGCCTGATCCAGCAGTAAAGGTAAAGGTAAAGGGACCCCTGACCATTAGGTCCAGTTGTGACCGACTCTGGGGTTTCGGTTACCAACTCTGTCATCTCGCTTTATGGGCCGAGGGAGCTGGCGTACAGCTTGCGGGTCATGTGGCCAACATGCCTAAGCCGCTTCTGGTGAACCAGAGCAGCGCACGGAAATGCCGTTTACCTTCCTGCTGGAGCGGTACCTGTTTATCTACTTGCACTTTGACGTGCTTTCGAACTGCTAGGTGGGCAGGAGCAGGGACCGAGCAACGGGAGCTCACCCCGTCACGGGGATTCGAACCGCCAACCTTCTGATCAGCAAGTCCTAGGCTCTGTGGTTTAACCCACAGCGCCACCTCCACTTCAATTTTTATACTTTGGCCTTTGCCTTGTTTGTATGAAATGCAAACGGCATGCTACTCAACAGGTAACCAAGCACCTGCTCCTAGTCTTCCTTCTACCCCTTGCTGTTTGCTAGCCCACTATTGTGAGAGAGCCCCCGCCCCCGTAGTTTCAGCTCCTTGCCCATCAGTGTCTCACCTTTGCGCCAATCATTTCATAATGGCGGTGACTAACCAAAGTCACCTTGAAGTCCTCTTCCTCAAAGGTGGCTCGCCGGGGGATGTTGTTCTTGGGGTAGGAGAGCGTCATGCTGGTGTCTTCCAAGGTCACGAACACAGAGTGGGTAAGCGATGGGTGGTAGATCTCTGGATCGTATAAATACATTTCATTCATCCACCCCTGGAAAGAAACAACTCTGTTTAGAGTGGGGGAGGTAGCCAGTCCACACAGTATAAAACAGAGGTAGCAAACGTGAGGCCCTCCAGATGTTTTTGGATGGACTCCGCCTCCCATCACACCTGAGTCCTGCAACAGCTGGAGGGCACCACATTGGATACTCCTGGTATAAAAATGTGTGTTTTATGCTGTTTTGAATGGAATGAGGGCCGTATCCAGTGTTTGTCCTACTCAGAAAATGACCCACTGGATATGACAAACTTCACTAATTTTCATAGGTCTACCCTGAATAATCAGTGAGTTGCAGACAACCCTTAGCCTTTAGACTGTCTTTCTAAGAATGCATTGATTTGCATTTTAAAAATTATTATTAATAACAATACTGCTGTGTTGTGAGCTACCTTTGGAAAAGCAACATACAAATAACAAGAAATGAATAAATAACTTTAATAATAAGGCATAATAATATAAATAAATATTTAACAGCCTTAACAGCAAAACAACAAAAAATGATAATAATAGTGTGTCGCCGGATTAATCGAGGGTGCCTTTTTAGTTGATTAAAAAGGTTTCTAATCAATTAATCTAATTTATTAAAGGGGATAGTCCTAGTTTTGCTTCTCAGTGGAAGGATTATCTCTCCTAGTGGTGTGTGTGTGAGAACTGTTTCAGTGTTGAACAAATCCATGTTGAGAGAGGAGCATGGGAACATTGGGGTTGTTTTTTTACTACCAGCCCTTCACCCAAAGGTCCCAAGTCAGGTTACGGCACTAAAACAGAATATTATAAACAACTTAAAGCAACTCCTGAACTTTCCTCCTCATTGCCTCTGATGGAGACTGTGCAGCAACAGGATGGGAGATGAAAGCCTCCGCCTTTGTTGCTTGGCAACCATTATTCGTGCCTTAAGTAGGCCGACACCTCCTTGAAGCTAAAGATGGGTATACTCTCCCAATTTGGCGTCAGGCTAACATGGAAATTATCCGAATTACCTGGGGACTTTAACCAGAGCCAATATGAACCTTGAGGAAACCCACCCACCCATTTTTTCTGATGCCCTCCACAAATGCCATCCACTCCCCTCAGATAACTTAATCAGTGGGAGCAGCAATGGAGGTGTGGGGTGGAGGAAAGAGAACGGTTGTCTTCTTTTCCCTTCATTGCCCTGACATTAAAGATGGATAAACCTGTCAGGGTGGTTGTATTCTAGGGCTGATCCTACTCAGAGTAGACCCACTGAAGTTATTGGAAATCACTAATTTATTAATTTCAATAGATCTGTTCTGAGCACTACATACAACTCTGTATTTCATCCCCACCCCTATCATTTCATGAAGAAAAAAATATATACAGGATTTTAAGTCCTCGTGAAAATTCTCCTAATATAACATTGTTGCAACTAAATTTCCCTAATATTTTATGTATTTTTTCACTAAAAATTTTATGGACACCTTACCCTAGCATTTGCATTTTTGCACATATTATTAGACTGGAGTGCAGTCTAATTCAGAGGGGTGCAAATTTCAAAGGGTGGCTGTGTTTTGGTTTGGTTTGGAAAGTACAGATTAGGTTGGTTTGCCTTTAAATGCAAATCTAAATGAATTCCCTGGCCTATCTCTACCTGACATACTGGCTATGCAGGTTGGGCTAGGATCTAGGAGAGCAGGGTTCAAATCCCCACTCAGCCGTATGAATCTCCCTGGGTCACCTTGGGCAAACTACGGTCTCTCAGCCTAACTTCCCTCACAGGGCTGTTGTGAGGATAAAATGGAATGGGGAAGAACACTGAACAGCAGCTTGAGATTATTAGAGGAAAGGTAGGTTATAAATGCAATAAATAAATCTATGAATGAATGCTGGGGCAACTGTAGAGAATGGCTGCCCCTTCACTGAGGGATCTTGGCCAACCCCACTACCAAGGGCTCCTTGTTAAGAGTGGGTAATGTCTGGCCTAGGACTGACTGAGTGACTGACTGATTCATTCATTCATTCCATTTATAACCTGCTCTTCAACCCTAAAGTTCTTAGGGTGGTACATAAAATAATTCATTAAAAAAACACATAAATTAAACATTATATGAAACCTTTCAACCAACTGGACGGCCAATTAGTCAGGGGGGAAAAATGGCACCCCAGTGTTTTTCATTTCTTTTTCTTTTTCATAAGCTCTGGGTTATTCTGGTTACTATAGTTTCTTGTGCAAACGTCAGAATCTTAGGTTGTTGTCAAAATGTCAACCTGCCCTGCCCAGTACAGCTAGCTATGTATAATTTCATAAAATTTTTAAAAATATCAGTTGAGATGTCTGGAAACAAATGACAGTGACAGGGTTTTTGTTTCAGCATTCTGCCTCAGATTGGTTCTACTGGGCAATTTGTTGGGGATGGGCTGTAGCTCAGAGGCACAGCATGTACTTTGCATGCAGATGGTCCCGGGTTCAATCCCCAAGTAGGACTGAGAGTTCCCCGGCTAAAAGACTGGAAAGCCACTGCCAGTCAGTGTAGACATTACGAGTCTATATGGGACCAATGGCCAACTTCCGACACCCCTATCTCCTACCTTAAGAATGTTGGGTTCCTGGGGCTGCTGATTCAGCGTCTCTGATGGCAGCTGGTCTAGAGATGTCTGCCTTTTCCGTGGAGACAAGGAACGCTTTGGCATCATCAGAAGAATAATGAGGAAGCCCAGCATGAACCCACATGCCAAGCCAAGGCAGAGGCCTGAGATGTAAGGAGGCAGCGGCAGCACAAAGTAGTGGTAGGCCAAGATGGCGACGCAGAGAAGCGCTTTGCATGGCACTCTGCTACAAGGCTTGGTGGGGCGGAGGATGTCCAGAGGTGGAAGCATCCGCACTTCCTCCGTGCCACTGCTTTTGTCCGCAGCAACCTCCACCACTTGGATGACATCTCCGTAGGAGCAGATTTCGTACTGGCAGTTTAAGGAGGGACCCCATTTCTGTTCACTGGGGCAATAGTCCTCCACTTGGCTCCTCCCAGATGGCTGTCCTGGAACAGCCCCATGCAGATTGGTCTCCTGGGTGGGGCTCTTCTCGTCTTCCAAAATGGTCTCCTTGCTGTGGCTAGAAGGGGAATCGTGGGCGTGGTTGCCAGAAAGTGGGGATCTGTGTTTTGGTGAAACATTATTCTCATCCCCCATGATTTTGCTGAGTCTGCTAAGCGGTTCATGCATGGCCTCTGAAAACCGCCTTTTCGTGTCCTCAAATTTGGCTTCCTGAGCCTTGAAGAAGCTGCTTTTGCTCTCTGAGGGGGAAATGTTGGGGGAGGAGGGAGCCGTCCTAGAATCCCCATTTTTGCCCTTGGGATGGGTGATCTGCCGCCATCGATGGACATTGAGCTTGGAGTCAGACTTTGACTGCGTCACCTCTGGCTCCAGGCGGGAAATCTCAGTTGAAATAGATTTGACCAAGCTCAGCAAAGGTTGGGGCTTGAGGGAAGAGGCGTCCCGGGGCTCAATTTCAGTTGAGAGGGATTTCACTAAGTTGATTAATGGCTTGGGGCCTTGAGGGTTTACAAGGCCGGTTGATCTCTGGGGTGATAAACTGGGTGAACTGGAAGTGGGGAGGGCGGGCAAGAAATCCAGTTCAGGAGGAGACGGCAGAGGGGATGGCATGTGGAATGTGGACTCTTCCTGATGTTCATCCTGTTTCCCAATATCTTCACACATAGAAAAGTGGTCGGGTGAGTCAGGAGTTGCATCTTCCTCATCATCTAAGGCAAAGATCAGTTCATTTCCATCTACACCTTCCCAGTCATCTTCTTTGCTGGGAGCAGCAAGGTGGTTGGCTAACTGTTGGGAACTAGCAGGTTTGCCTTCCTGCTGAGGGTACGGTTGGGAAGAAAACTTTGCAGTCAATGGACCAAAAGTGATTTGAGAGTGGTCAGCCATCTTTCACATCCTCCCCGACGCTGAGCCTGTAAAAGTGACGGGAGACATTCAGAGACATGCGAACCTCCAGATTAAGCCCCATGGAATAGAAATATACCCCCAGCCCCAAATAATCTCATCATGTAAGGCATTATTCAGTTCCATAATTTTTTACAAACTACGGTATTGTCAGCCCCTGTGCTCGTGGGCATACAAAGCCTGAAAAAACTCAGGTCAAGGTAGCCTGAAGGCACATTTCCCCACAGCTAGACTCACTCCATCATCAAGATCTTCTAAGGAGGCCCTCCTAGCTTCCTCAGTGGTGTAAAGCTGGTGCCCTCCAGTTATTTCGGACTACAACTCCCACCAGCCACATACATTCGTACCTTGGTTTTCGAACAGCTTAGTTCTTGAACGTTTTGGCTCCCGAATGCCACAAACCTGGAAGTGACTGTTCCGGTTTGTGAACCAGTTTTGGAACCCGAAGCTCCTGCAGCCAATCGGAAGCCGTGCTTTGGTTTCCAAATGTTTGGGAAGTCGAATAGACTTACGGAACAGATTCTGTTCGACTTCCAAGGTACGACTGTAGTTGTAGTCCAAAATAGCTGGAGAGCAGCGGTTTTGCAAAGGCTGTCCAGTCCTTGAAGTGCCCTCCCATAGGTGATACAGCAGGCAATAGTGGTGGAACACTTTCACTGTCTAATGAAAACACATCTCTGACCAGGCATCTCCAACAGATGCTTGTGGGTTTTTTTTTATTGCCTCTGGATCATGTTGCTAAGTTTTAAGGAGTTTTTCACTGATTTTATTGCTGTGTTATTTCCTTGCTAAAAACCACTTTGAGATATTGTCTTGAAATAAAAAGCAGTTGAGAGATTATTTTAAATAAATAAAAATCATTGTCTGGACTACATACTTAGGTTCGTTTTGCAGAATTTTCATGGCCATTTTCTGCCTAAGAATGCTGGGAATTGTAATCTGATGAAATGGTTCTAAGCATTATCTGTAGGAAATCCCAAACTCCAAATATGGAATGGTTTATATACCTTTTTTGGTTTGATCTTTAATTTGTTTTTGAATGTAAAAGAAAAGAAAAATTGTTTCTTGCATTTAATGTTTTGTGGTGTTTGGATTGTTTGAAGTTATGGAAAGGAACGCAATAAAAAATTTATTAAAAAAAAAAAAAAAAAAAAAGGAAATCCCAAACTTCCTCAGTAACTCTCTCAGAGTGGAAGGGGGACGGGGACGGGGACAACGAAGCTGTGGTACAGATCTGCCTGTAAAGTGGAACTCCACAATCTTCCTCATTTTTGAAATGACAGGATTTAAAAATTCAACAACAGAGCAAGATGTGATGGCAATTCAGACACTATTCAGTGGTCTTTTTTTCCTTTACTTCCCTATCTGCATTATTTAATCAATGCATAAGAAGAAGAAAAAGAAGAGACTATCAAAATAAAACTTTTAGCCTTAAGGCATATTCAGGGTAGATTCCCTGAAAGTAATAGATTTAAGTCAGTTATGCCTATTTATTTCAATAGATTTACTCTGATTATGACAGTTTCAACTCTTTGTCTTTTGGGATCATTGATCTTTATAGTAACATCATCTATATTGCCAGCATTTGGCTTTACTGGGAACATTTATTCCCCCTTTTTTTTTACTGGGAACATTTATTCCCATTTTTAATTGAATCACACTTTATCAAGCTGTGTTCTGGGTTGTCATCGGGTTTTCAGATTTTTTTAATTATTATTTTTAGCTTTGTAAACTTGTATTTTTAACTGACTTTAGCTTTCAGCAAGAGTGACTCATGCATTGTCACATTAATCTTAAATCCCTTGGGGAGTTTTAAAAAGCAATGAATTAAAAATAGGTTGTGCTGCAAGGGAGATTCTCTGCTGAGAGTTCTATTGGGGAAAAGTTGTTTAAAACAGTGTTTCCCAACCGGTGTTCCGCGGCACACCAGTGTGCCGTGAGACCTTGCCTGGTGTGCCGTGGGAGGGAGGCAGGAGAGGCGGGGCGGCGGTGGCATCTCCTGCTGGATGCAAATCCAAACATGGCGGGCGCCTCCCTCGCTCCTTTGTAGGCGGACCATCGAGAGAGAAAGAAAAGGAGGCGAAAGAGCGAGAGAAGGCGCAGTGGGAAGAAAAGCCCTTGTCCCCCCCCCCCAGCCTTCAGAAGAGGTTGGGGGACAGACTGTCCCCGGACCTGGTCTGAAGGCGGTTTCCCTAGGAACGCATTAATTGATTTTCAATGCATTCCTATGGGAAACCGTGCATCGCAAGACGAAAAACTCGCAAGACGAAGAGACTTGCGGAACGAATTAATTTCGTCTTGCGAGGCACCACTGTACTTTTTATATAGTCAATATAGGCACAGAGTTAAATTTTTTAACATTTTCTAATGGTGGTGTGCCTCGAGATTTTTTTCATGAAACAAGTGTGCCTTTGCCCAAAAAAGGTTGGGAAACACTGGTTTAAAAAATAATAGGTCAGGGATACACACAACCCTGGTAATACTCCTAAAGGTCAGAACATCAGAGTTCTGACCTTTAGGAGTATTACCAGGGTTGTGTGTGTGTTTGAGATTCTGCATTAGAATAAATACTGAATGTTTCCTGAGTGCAAAATTCATTGTCCTTGGAATATCTGCTTCCACAGTGGCGTAGCGTGGGTTGTCAGCACCCGGGGCAAGGCAAGTAATTTGCGCCCCCTAACCCGTGGATTTGCGCCCCCTAACCCGTGGATTTGCGCCCCCTAACCTGTGGATTTGCCCTAACCCCAGATGTTGTGCCCGGTGCGGCCGGCCCCCCCTGCACCCCCCACGCTACGCCACTGCTTCCATTAATTTTTTTTTTTAATCAAGTTTCTACAGATCTCATCATGGTTCTCCTTTTTTGCACATAAATTGGTTAACTTGGTGCAGAAATTGATAGGGTTCCCCCATATGAGAGATATATAGAGTATTCATCTGGATTGGCCTATGAGGTGTTTATATGTTTATATGTCTTCCCATTAAGGCACCCTCCCATCCATGCTTTTTAGTGCATTCCCTTGTCATTTTTACAAACTGCAGAAAGCCCAATTCTTTTTTTTTTTAAAGAAGTTTTGTTACCCTATGGCAACTGAGTACTTTAACCCACTTTATGATGACACTTAACCTCATCACTGTAACCCATACGTTGGCAACTTCAATCCTGGATTACTGCAATGCTATCTACTTGGGGATGCCCTTGGACCTGGTTCAGAAGCTGCAGCTGATGCAGAATGCTGTGGCATCTGGCTGACCCTGGCTGCCCATCTACTACTGAGCTAGGTTAAGAGTCCTTATCTTAATTTGCAAAGCCCTGGACAACACAGGTCTAGGGTACACCAGTGACCACCTGAAGCTTTATATCTCAGCTAGATCACTGAGATACAGTGGTACCTTGGGTTAAGTACTTAATTCGTTCCGCAGGTCCGTTCTTAACCTGAAACTGTTCTTAATCTGAAGCACCATTTTAGCTAATGGGGCCTCCTGCTGCCGCCACACTGCCGGAGTACGATTTCTGTTCTCATCCTGAAGCAAAGTTCTTAACCTAAAGCACTATTTCTGGGCTAGTGGAGTCTGTAACCTGAAGCGTATGTAACCTGAAGCGTATGTAACCTGAGGTACCACTGTAATCTGCAGCAGCATCTCTGATCATTCCCAGAACTGGGGAGGCTCATCTGACAACAACAAGAAATCGAGCCTTTAGTGTCATCTGCCCAGTCCTGTGGAACACCCTGCCAATGGAGATTCAGCAGGTGTCTTCTGTTTCAACATTTAAAGGCCTGCTGATAACTTTCCTATTCCACTATGCAGGCAATTAAGATGTAACCTTCTACAGTAGCTGGCTGATTTCTGATTTTAACTTTTTGAATATATATTTTCATTGCATGGTTTTATGTACAATTGTTGTAAACTGCTCTGCCTTTTTTTAAAAAATAGCAGTATATCAATATTTTTTAATTAAACCTAAATTACCTGGTATAACCTCTCAACAAAAAAACCCCCAGAATGAATGCTTAATAAAGACCGGATGTAGTCAAACCTCTGTGTAAACTCTGCACAAGCAAAGCTGGATGAAATGGTCAATTAACAGGTCACTTGGATGAGCTTCTGGACAGATGCCAATAAGCAAAGAGGTGCATGTGGAGGCTGGGGCAACTCACCCTCTGATATTTCACTGGGACAGGTTTTTCAATGCCCAGGATTGCTGCCCAGGGCACTTTCCCATCTATTGTTGTTGTTATATGTATACTGCCCTATACCTGCAGGTCTCAGGGCAGCTCACAACATAAAATCAAAATATATGAACACAAAATACATAATAAAAACAAGAACAAGAACAACCCAGTACTTTGCCAGCACACAACAAGGAAAAGTTTGCTTCGCCTTCAGAACATTCTTTGCATTTACTCTCCCCTGATTTTCAAGCTGGAAACCTGCTTGCTCTTTGTTTATTTCTGGCGAGCTCTTTTAAGCACTTTACTGGCATGAATTAATCAGAGGCTGCAATGCTGTTGCCCCAGCTGCCTTTCTCAGCCTGCACATTGTAGGGCCTCCATGTTCCTTACATTTCCCCAATCCCTCTTCTTCATGACCAAAATGAACCTGAAATAATGTCTCCAGTCTATCTGGGGATCTATGAAGAGGCAACAGATGGGGAATGGCACCAGTGGAGTGTAGGTTTAAGAACACAAAAAGCTGCCTTATACCAGTTCAGACCTTTGGTCCCTCTGGCTCAGTACTATCAACACTGACTGGCAGCAGCTCTGCAGGGTTTCTGACAAGTCTTTCCCATCCCAGCCCTACCTGGAGATGCCGGAAATCAAACACGGGAACTTTGTGTTGCAAAGCAGGTGCTCTGCTCTCCCCTCCCTCTCCCTGCGAACCAGTTTCAGTCAGCTTTGTTAGTCTATTTCCCTCGCAGCAAGAGAAATATAGTTTGAGGAATCTGCTGCCCTGGCAATAGCATAGATATTTCTTGGCACTAATTGTTTTGTAATGGACAAAATGCCCA